CCCCATCCAATAAAGGGTGGAGATTCTCCATAGTCCTCCCTTTGCTGTTAATGTATTTATAGAAACATTTTTTACTTCTTTTATTGCAGTAGCCAGACTAAGTTCCAGTTCGGCTTTGGCCTTTCTAATTTCCTCCCTGCATTTCTTCATGGAATCTTCACTTCTTGAGTTGCCTGCCCCTTCTTCCATGGGCCTCAGACTTCCCTTTTCAGCCTGTTTTCCAGCCAAAGCTCTTTATTCAGCCAGGCCAGTCTTCTTCTGCACATTTTGTCCTACAGCACATCAGGACGTCCTGCTCCTGCTCCTGCACCTTAAAGGCCCCCCCTGCTTGAGGAACATCCAGCCTTCCTGGGCTCCTGTGACCTTCAGGACTGCATCCCAGGGGACTCTGTCAACTCTTCTCCTAAACAGGTCAAATTCTGCCCTCTGGAAGGGCAAGTCAGTTCTACTGACCCCACTCCTTACTTCCCCAGCAACTGAAAACTCTTCATTTCATGATCCCTAGGCCCAAGGTGGCCTCCAACATTCACATCACCCACGAGTGCTTCTCTGTTCATGAAGTTTCTTTCCTTAAAAAAAAAATAAAAAATAAAAATAAAAACAAGGGGTGTCAGGTGCAGATTTTAATGTTAGCATTACCACTACACGGGCAGGCACAGTCTCTCAGGCAACAGGTCATTTGGCCCTTCTGCTTTAGGCTTGAAAAGCAAGAACCAGCTCACAGCCTGAATTTCACCCACCACACAATAAGTTTATCCCATGCTTGTTCTTTATTCTCCCTGACCCCAGTACCCAAACCTACACACTTACCTATCTTTCAGGAGACCAAGCTGAACCCCATAAAATTACCTAAACTCACTAATGCTCCCCCCCTTTGTTTTTTAACTGGACTAAGAGGAAGCACGTAGTGCAAGCACCAGCTGGAGAACAATCAAAAGCTCGTGTCCTGTTCTCCTTTTCCCTCCCCCACTGGAGGTTTGAAATCCTCATTTTATTTTAACTTTGACTTGATTTTAATAACTTGGAAACCAAAGTAGCCTTTAAGTAAGCTCTTCTTTAACCACAATGACTCCTAAACTGCTCTCTGGAAAACAGAGCAGTGTTCCCTGGTGACAAGTGCAGCATCACCCCCAGCCCCTTCATCAGCTGATTGATCTTTGCTACGTCTGGGTGCATCCATCTGAGCTCCTGGATAACAACCCGTCAGATGTCAGAAGAGTGGCCCCCACCACACTCAAAGCCTTCCAGCCAAAAAGCAGCAGCAGATAAAGGAAATGTTTCAAGGCATGAGGGCTGGATTTGATATCCTGATTTCTCGGATGCGCAGACATGCAGTGGTCCATGCTTTCAATTCCTAATTTAAAACGAAACCCAAACCCCAAGTCATCAAATACATCAGAGGATATAAAAACTCTTCTGCCCTCTAGTGCTGTGAAGCAGTGGGATGTCTGAGATGTACTGATGGCTTTTTGGGGGAAAAATGTGTAGCCTTGCAGTTCACAATTCCAGCCTCTTTTTTTTTTTTTTCCATACACAAAGGGAATGGAGTATAAAAGATACTCAATAATTTTTGTGTACAAACTTGAGAGAAATATGATCTTAATATCTTAAACACCAAAGAAAAACTACTAAAAAAAAATTCTTGAAGCTGATAAACTGTACAGCAGCTTGTCAAAGGCAGTTTGGAATAGATTGTAAATGCTACTACTCAGCCAAATAACGAAAAACCTGAAAAATCATCACTGCTGAGGAATGTTATGCCATAAGCAAGATGGGTTGTCAAAACTTAATTTAAGTAACTGTTGCAGTTCTTCCATAAATGCTGGAGAGGCATGGCTGCTCTCTTAGCTCCTGCTTTTGGGGGTCTGGGAGTTGGTGGGGAGGTGAAGAACAGTCTCACGGGCACCAGAGCAAGTTGGTGGGAAGGGAAAGGATCATATTAAATGGCACCATTAAAGCTCACAGCTCTATCTTTACTAGTTTAATCTCATAAATTAATCCACATCCTCCTAGAATAAGTCTTCAAAGAGACAGAGGTAATTGGATATAAATACTTTCCTTCTCAGCCCCTGGGTCACAGTGATAGAGCAGCAGGCAGCTTTTGGCACTTTGATCTCTGGCCGTGATTTCCACTCCCCTTTCTCGCCGTGGTCTCAGGCCTCACTCTCTCATTACTTTTTCAGAGCCAGCCGTGCTTTCCCTGCTGCTGGTTTGTCCTCGAGCCACCCCCTGTGGCCTTTTCCTCTCTTAGGAGGCTCAGCCTTCACCTTGCATTATTCTTTGTGTTCTGCTCCTCTCCTTGGGCCCTCCCCACAGGCAGTGCTCGTGCCCCGTGTCCGTGCCCTGCCAAGTTGACTGCAGGGAGCCACTGGTGCATGTCTGGTGAACCTGCACCCCCTGGCTCAGCCTCTGCTGGGCAGGAGCCGTGTGAGCTCGTACCAACACAACACCTGTGCAGATAAACCACCTTGATGTCCACGAGTGGAACTGACATGTTTTCATCACTCCTTCGTTCACCTCGAGTCTCTAATATGCTCTGAACCCTGTCCTGCTCTGTGCTGTCATGTTAGATGGATAGCTCCTTGAGACAGCAACTGCATTTCCAATGAAGTCCAGCAAAACGGGGCCTGTGTCCTGGTTCAGTGAGTCACACCTTGGGCATGACAGCAAGATAAATCTGCCCAAGGAATTCCCCATGCCCGACACAAAAGACTGAGGGAACCTGGGGCTCAGGCTGCGAGCGAGTCCCCAGGGCCAGCTGCAGACAGTCTGATCTTGCACACTCCTTGGACAACTCCTGGGCAGGCAGCCTAAATCCACCACGTGGCTGGTGCCCTTGAGGAGTGGGGTGGGACTGTCACCAGCAGGGCTCTTCCCAGTAGACCACGGTCTTCCTCTGTGCCTGAGCAAGCTGTGGAAGTAGCTGTCTGCCACATGGAACATTTTAATTTGAGGGAGAGATTTGATTTGAAAGGGCTGGGATTTTAGGTCAGCAGTCTGAAGTCAGACTTGAATAAGAAAAGGGAAAACTATGCTGAAAGTTTCTGAAAATGTTATCCTTGATGTTTGCAGCCAGCTCCAAATATAACAAGTGTTTCTAGGGCATTTACCAAAAAGGCCTGAAGAGCTAAATCAAAATAAATCCCAGTTTTGATATGAAGTTATTTGCTACAACAGCAGAAAACTGACCTTGCTGATGAGGGAACCCCCTTCTAATCCTGGTTTTCTGTAGACAGAAAAAATAAGAGTGTTTTCTTTCATTTTAGTGCCAGCCCATACGTCTTGATAACTCCAAATGAAACCAGAAGAAAACAGTTGCAGCAAAGTAAGTTGAGTTCCCTAATAGGGTAATACATTATTTATACTTGAAAAAACTGAAGGGTTTGTGAACTTTATTGCCCTTGCAACTTTTGTCCTCATTTTTGCAATGCTTTTTATGTGCAGCTGTAGCTGTAAAGCCCATCCTACGAGCATTCGCCATCACTGTGTTGGCTCTTCTGAAGATTGACTTCTCATCTGACTGAGCTTCATGCAGAATAAGTTTGTACAGGGAAAGGTTTTTGGTAATTTCGGTGTTGGAGCTGTTCAAACTGCCTTCTGCAAGACTCAGATGGAATGAGCTTTATCCCATGTTTACAGGATCGAGTTCAAATGGGAGAACCTGACTTTGAACACTTTCTTGGTTAGGGAGAGGAAGAAGAAAAATACAAGGAATATTTCTGGAAATACTCTCGTGGAGACTAAGACAACTAGAACCACTGCTGGTTCTTGAATCTCCATTTAAAGATTGCAGGTGGTTCTTTAATAAAGCTGGGAAAGATCATTTTGGATGGAAAATACTTATGAATCTAGGTTCACTTTTACTTAGCTTTGAGTCTTGCTGTTCAAAGTAGCTAAGCAGGAACACCCTGAACCACTTTCAGGGTATGTGTTAAAAAACTTTCATTGCCAAAGTTACAGCCAAGAGCTGGTCATGAAAGAAATTCTGTGTGCAGAGGTGACCAGGCACTGCAGTCCTGCACTGCCAGCTCTTTGTGCAAGATGTGAAAGCTGAAGGAGTGTCAGTCAGCACCCCTCACATTTTGAGTCCTCAAGTAAACAGTGCCATTAAATAACTTCCTAGACATTGTGACTGGCTGAAATGCTTCACCAGCAACCTGGTGTGGAGCTCAGTTTCATCTGGTTGCAAGAAAGAAAATTTTGTCCTGAACCAAACTGTCATCTTCTGGAAGGAGGAATGAAAGCAGATCATCCTGGAGCTGATCCTGACACTTAACAGCAGAGATGCTGCTCTGGTAAAGATCTGTTTTCACTTTGTGCCACCCACATCCAAGATCTGAACTGTGTTAGGTATGTCTGCCTTGGATCCTGGCAGGAACAGGGGCTCACCCAGTCCAGTCTCTGCCTAAGTGCTTGTTTTAAGGTGAAATAACCATCTGGTGTTTCTCTTGGGCCTCTTTAGAGACTTGCCCAGGAACTGGCTTTATCTTGTCAGAGAAGAGCTGGCATTAGGCAGCTGGCAGCCTACTGTTCCTCTTGGTTTCAGTAGGAATGAAATGAGCTCCTAGGAGCAACTAAAGCCCTGCTGTAAAACACAGCTCCTCTTTTCCATCAGCTTTGTGGGCCTTGCTGTGGGAAGGGTTGTTGGGGTTTTTCCTCCCAGACAGCCCTGCCCACACGGCTGGTGCCCCTGACTTTCTTGACTAGACCTCCACCAGCTCCACTGGGAACTTGTCACCTGTCTCACGTCTGGACACCTATGTCAAAGTGTCTTAATTTGAAGCTGAATCATGGATTCCTCCTGTTTTTATTTAGGGAGCCTGTGTTTGGGAGGGAAAATCACTTACTCTTCATTTCCCTGCTAAGGGGCCTCACCCCACAAGCATTGCCTTCCATGCAGCTAACACCTTAATCAGCTGTTACACCCAGGAGTAAATGCTGGGGCATTTACCTGCAGGTTCCCAGGGGTTAGTTAGCAGCCTGTTAGGAGTCTCTTAGCTGGTTTTTTGTGTTGTTTTTGGGATTGAGTCCTTGCCATATAGTCTTGAGTTAGGGAAAATGTTTGTCTTGTTAGGTGATCATTACAGTGACTGTGTAATCTCCTTGGGCATGTCTGAACCCCTTGGGATCAAGTTTGTCTGTTCCTGGATAGGTCTTCAGGGTTATAAACAATTAGCAAAGCTGTCTGTGTTTTAGTTGGCCTCTAACTTCCATATGTTTGTTTCTTTTTGTGCCTTCTCAGTTGCTAAGAAGGAGCTAGATGACCTGCAGCAGTGGAAGGAGAAGCAGAGAGCACAGCCAATTAAACTGGTTCCACAGAGACTGGGTGAGAGACCTGGATGAGCTGCTATGAATGGTGAAATTCTGTTTTTCAGGACATGAGTCGTTTTTCACTTTTTCTCCCATGCTACTTATTAAAGAGATGCAGTGTCAGTATGAGCCTACTGCATGTGCTCTGTGCCTTTCCATGGCCATGGCAATGAAGATGTTGCTGAAACAAAACAGCACAGATTGTACTCCAGAAACCTGTTGAGATCAGTGTAGAAAATCTATACTAACACTTGGGGGAAAAAACCAAACCAAACCAAACACAAACAGGTGGATTATCCCTCCTGCTGGTGGCGTTGTCTGTGGTTGATGTCTCTGAGGGGACACACACTTGGCATTAGCATGCAGATGGGCAGCATGTGTTGGAGACCCTTCAGTCACTGTAAGGCTCGCCTGTTGGGGTGCATGTGCTTCCCTCACTGCTGGCTCTTGAAGAGGCAGAACTGATCCCTGCAGCTGCAGACATTTGCAGGCTGAATGTGCATGAGGCTGTTACCCATTAACAGAGAATGGTAAATAAAAACAAGATGAAGAGCTGCAGGAGCTTAAGTCACCCTGAACTGATATCTTTGCTAAGATAACCAACTATTTTCCTAGACAGGTTACAGCTATGAAACATTTAATTTAGTGCTTTTGGGGAGTTAGTTTTTAAAAAAAAATAGACAAAAATACCCCAAACCAGCCAACCTGCAATCTTGTACAGAGAATAGGGCTGCAGATTGTGCTGAAGTAGGAGGAAGATTATTAGAAGTGCTTTTCAAGTGCCAGTCTTCAGACCTGTCTTGTTTTAATACCTTTCTTTAATGTCTTTGGCACAAAAGCGAAGAGAGAGCTGACGAAACTTGCTGACAAGACAAAACTTGAAGGCATCATCTGTATAGAACAGGACAAGGATATTGCAAAGCAAAAATGGGACGACCTTGAGAAGCTGCACTAATAGAAATGGGACACAATTCATTCTGACAAAGTGAATTATAATGATGCCTTTATTAGTTTTGTAAATCTAGAGCTGTCCTTCCTCTGTTTGACTGTCAAAGGAGAATCTGGGGTGCACAGTGAAGGCTATTGCCTTTCTTGACCTGGGAATTAAGTTCTTTCTTTGTCATGCTACACAAGATAAGTTTGGAGTGGTGTACTCTGTATAAAAATGGATACCAGGAGGAGATGGAGGAATTTGAAGTGATTCCAACCCAGGTTTGGTTTTGTGGTCTAGGTGATACTGGTCCCACGTGCCTGCTTTGCTTTGCAGCCTGAGTCACAGGTTTTTCTCAGTAGTGAATCTACCTTTACAGGTTGATGTAATGCCCTGTGTTCCAACATCATGTGATGTCATGTGGCCAGACATGCTCTTTATGAGTTCTTAGACACTGGCTGCATCTTGCCTGTGAGCAGTTCCTGCAAGTCAGGCTCCTCTCCCAGGAGGACCATAAAGCTCTTTGCTGAAGGCAGTGAAATCTGAAAGCAGGAGTTTGGGGTGTGCTGTCCATGCAGGGGGTGTGCAGGCTGGCTGATGGCTGGGGACAGGGTGGCCATCCCACAGGGACTGAGTGTGGTGACTCAATGTCTGCTGGTCCCAATGCATTCAAAAACTTTCATGGGAAGGAAGCAGATTAAGAAGGGGAAAAAAAAAGCAAGAAAAAGCTGAAGGGATTGAAGGAGGTTATATGAGCTCTTCAGCCACTGTCTGGCTGCCACTTAGAAAGACCCCTGGAGACAGAGGTACATGCACTACGTTCAGTACCCCTGAAAAGAGGTAAGGTGTGAAGATTATTAGATCTTATTCCCACAGGAACAAATTTGGAACAGAATAGACATTAAGGAAGGGGGAAAAAAATCTAAGTGGTATCTGTAATTTCACAACTGTAGATACTCATTAAGGTAAAACATATCCTATGTTATTTTCTCAGAGTGATTTTAAGAAACTACAAATCTAGTCCAAATCAGCAGAAAAATCTTAAGGTTGAAGTTTCTTCACACATGGTTTTGACAGAGAAGTTGGTGTCCTGGATTTCAGCTTTGCAATGTTTGACTGGCAGACTTTGAGGTATGACAGAGGGATGAGAGCAGTGAAGGATGGAAGTTCCACCCTCCTCCATAAGCAGCATGTGGAGCCACAAATCATGTCTGATAAATGCAGTGGCCTTTTTTTGTGTGATCATTTTATATAAAGCCAGTCACAACATGCTCTGACTTCAGTGAATCATGTGACACATTCCAGCCAAGCCAGCTGGAATGAACTGAACCTGCCTGAAGGACTACAGAGAGTGGTTACTAATGATCAGAAAAATGCTTGTTTGGAGCCTGTGACCAGCAGCACATGCAGAGAAGCAGAGAACACAAAAGTGTTACATGTTACAAATAAAAGACTAGAAAGAAGGAAAGATCAAGAATCCAAAAGGTTTCAAAATCTGTTTAGTAGCAATTTCATCTCCCAGACCTGGGGAGGAGGCACTCTGCAATGACAGCACCTGCTTACTGCTGCTATGAGCTTGTGTAATGTGTGACCAGACTTTCCTGAGAGCTTAATCTTATGGTGTCTTTTATGTGCATAGAAATGTTTCCACACTTAGGGAATTGATCTACCATTCAGTGAACCTCACAAAAGTGCCTAAAGATTGGTTACCTTCCATTAGTAAGCTACTTTAGTGAAGAGTAATCCTTCTAAGATCTAGTGTAGTTGTCTTATATTTCAGGCACCTCAGGTAGCACAGGTTGGTCCAGCTGCTTCTGTAGGGCTGACAAGGAAAACTTCTTTACTGTGAGGGTGCCAGAGCCCTGGAACAGGCTGCCCAGGGAGGCTGTAGAGTCTCCTCTGGAGGTGTTCAAACCTGCCTGGACATGTTCCTGTGTAACCTGCTCTAGGTGAACCTGCTTTAGCAGGGGGCTTGGAGTGGATGGTCCCCAGAGGTCCTGTCCAGCCCTTACCATTCTGTGACTGTGTAACAGTCCCCCAGTGGGGAACATCCCAGAAGAACACTCAGTGAAAGTACAGCCCTCATCCTCAGGACAGGGCAGGGCTGCTGCTGGTTTTTCCAACAGCTGAAGGAATGAATTAGTTGCTTTCCCAAAGCAAGGAAAAAGCTTTGGAGAATAATAGAGCAGAGTAATAGAATCAAACCTGCTCCCTCCACCCCTGAAGACCTATTGTCACTTTCTCTATGTGGTTGGTTTCTTATTTGTTTTGTTTGTGGATTGATGGTTGTTTTGGTTTTTTTGATTATTTTTTTTTTAATTGAAAGCTGAACATTATGACCAGAGCTTTAGATGTTCTCAAAAGAGCTCTGCCTTTGGAAAGGGCACCTTCTGCTACCTGCTGATGAGTATGAGGTTTGTGGGAAAGGCTTTGATTTCCATTTCAGAAAGGGGATTCTTCCTCAAGCCACAAGATATTACTTGGAAGATATTTAAATGATAGCATCCCATTAGAGCTGGCAGACTCCGAGCTCCTAAATTTGATAGAAGAGAAACTTTCTGGCAACAAAATTTCCACCTGCGTGTGACAAAGTGAGCAAAGGTGGAGAGAGCTGGATCTGCAGAGGAGCCCTCAGCTGCAAAGCGTGACTGGTTTCCTGAGCATGGAGTAGTTCCTCAGGGAACTGAGGGTACACTGTAGGAGATGTTTGCTGGCAGGGGGGTGGCACAGTGGATGCTCTGTAAATGACACGCTAGTGTGTTTGAGGGATGGATGAAATGATTGAAAAGGTCTCTTGTCTGTTATCTTTAACGTTAGACAGCCACTGTAATTATGAAAAATTTCCTGTGTATACATGTGTGTGATCTGTTACATTGCTCTGCTCTGAAATGACTGGCATTTGAACTTAAAAAGCTCATGAAATATGCAATTCATACATTTGAGGTGTTTTTTCTTAAGGTGGGAAGGAATCAGAGGCTGAAGCAAGGCAAAACCAGCAAATGATGCTCCTGCAGTCTAAATACCAGCAAAAGGTCAGGAAGAATAAATTTTTTTTTGTTTAAGAACTCAAAACCCTCATTTTTATGAAGCATTTCATATGGCTGTAAAATGAACTCACAGCTGCTTGACAGAAGAAAATCATGAAACCAGAAAGAAGCAGCAGAAAACCAGAAACCAGTGTTCTGCACCCAAGAAAATGAGAAATCTAGCTTTAAATTTTTGGCAACCCCAATCATGTGTCAGATCTGAGATGATAACCAGTGCAGCTGTAGAGCCACTTCCATGCCCTGCTGCATCTTCTGCCCTCCTGCCTGTACTCTGACTAACTGATCAGTGCAGGACCCCACCCAGTGCTTGGGTAGGAATGTTGTTCCTGTTATAAAAGGTACAAATGTTTGTAAGCTACCAGTCAGCTGTGTGATTCCTTCCATGGATGCCCATTTATCAGTCCTAGATTTCTCAGTCTTCATAAAGCCAGCATTGGAGTAGCTGCTGTACAACCTGCTTTATCCAGTGCCTCATTAAAAAAAAAAAAAAAAGAAATTCTGGAAAATTCCCTCAAATGCATTTAGATTTGAAAGACATGCAGTACAGGAGTCAAGTTAAGTTATCTTATGTGGGTTTTGTATAGATAATATTGTAAAACACTGTTCTTTATGTCATACAGCACAAGAGAGAAGAATATGTAAAAGCAAAAAGGGCAGCTGAAGAAGCTGAACTCCAGAAAAAGAAAGCAATTCAGAGAGAAAAGGTAAAGATGATTAATGCAGAGTTGGAGCCGTGTAACAGAGTTCATGTCTTGATGCTTGATTTCACTGAACTGCATGGAACAGGCTAATTGAATTAAATAGTAGCCCTGGATTATATCAAGGACTTAGGAAACCAAATCTTCATTCTGTTTGTAGCTGACTGAAGGGTGCCTGTTCTGGTGTTCTTTGGGGCTTGAGTGTTCCAGGGGCTCTTCAGAAGCTCCAGCCTTTCAGCTCCATCCATCCTGCAGAGTCAGAGCACCAGGGGCAGCACTGATGTTGTATACACAGGTTAGAGAGTTCACTTGGACATGAACTTTCTCTTCAAGATCAGACTCTGGTAGATGGCACATAATCCATAACTGCCTGCTGGACACATGGGGAGAATACAAGAAAGCCCAACCTGTCATGGTAGGAAAGGCATTCCAGTAATGAAAAGGTCAGAGTAGTCTCTGTGCTGTGCTGAGCACACCCTAAAATTCCAATACCCCTCCAGCCCCTCTGGCCTTGCACATCCAGGTGGATTGCTAACACCTAAGACCACTTTTCCTTCTAGTATTCACTGCAGATTGACACCAATGAAAGCTCACTTTCAAACCTTTAGTTTTATTTGGCATTGTTTTTCCTAGTTATTCTCACAAAGCATCTTCTCATCCTGTGTGCTGTATAAATCTTTGTCAAGGTTCATTCATGTCTCCTTGGTGAGAACCAAGTAGCACTTCCTTGAGATTGTAACAGGGAATTTAAATGGAAAATAAAAAGAAGAGAGTGGGAGCATGATACTGCTGCACAGGGCAGTAATGAGAGGAAGGGAGATTTCAGGTTTTTGTTTCCACAACAGTAAAAATTATGTTCTGTACTGAATTTGAATGCTGAGAGTTGATTAAAAAACCATCACTACTAGGGTGGCATACAAGGGCATGCATAAACTAAACTAGTCCTGATTGCCTCTGGGTAAAGGTTGGGCTGTTCTCAGCCTTTCAGAGGCTAGCACTACTCTTTGGGGGGAAGCCCATACACAGTATGGCTCACAGGGGCCATAAATAGCATCATGTGCAAATGGCATTAACAGCTACTACCTCATATATAGCTGCAGAAGAAGTGATGATAGCAATGGTAGAAAGAGGATTAATTGTATTTTATTCACCTGTTAAATATATGTTGTTTGTCCATGGGCATTGGACAAGAAAAATGTTGGAAGATTGCTCTAATTTATAGTTACATCTAGGAAATTTATTGATGTATCAGTTTTGTTTTCATGCTCTCTAATTTCCTTACCTTCACTCCCACAGATTATAAAATCTTTATGGATGTTGTAGACAGTAAAACTGTAACTATCAGTTTCTTCCAAAGGAGAACACAGTATCATGGCAAATGTCTTTGCCAAAGTGACTGCTTGATTTGCATAACTAAACATACCCACAAAGCAAAGAAACAAAACAGAGGAGCATGAAAGGGAATCCTTAAGTTGAATTTGTTTATTCAGGTTGTCTTCCACAACAGAGATTGAAGATTTCTGCATAGAAGATGTTTATATATTATAAGTTTAAGAAAAGCGTGTTGGAAAGCCACTAAAAGGTGTCAGTTTGGCTGTCTCACTCTGCCTGCAGCTGAAAGGCTCCTGAGAGCTGAGCATGACAGGAAAGGGACCCTAAAAAACTGGTACTGAGCAACCAATCATTGGGTCCTGGTGACCACAGGAGGGGAACTTCTGTTTTACAGTGATAGACTTGCAGAGTGGTGAGGAGTGGCCCAGGCTGCCCAGGGAGGTGGAGTCACCAGCCCTGGAAGGGTTCAAAAAATGTCTGGACATGGCACTTGGGGACATGGTTTGGTGGTCATTGGAGTGTTGGATTGATGGTTGGACTTGATGGTCTTGGAGGTCTTTTCCAGCCTTAATGATTCCATGAACCTATGAACTGCACCTATGGGGCACCAGCTGAGAGTGTGTCTTTCTGCAAATTTACAAGCCTCCTTCTCTTGCTGGCCAGTCCTTCTTTTGCTCAAAGTTATTATTCAATCAATAAACCCAAAATTGTCTGACAGTCTGTCAGGACATAATGTCTAGCCAGCTTTATCAATGGGGACTGTGAAACTTGGACAGCTGGAGAGCTGCTTTTGCAGCCAATGTGAGTGGTGAAGCCCTCCAGACTGGTGCCCAGTGACTGGAGTGGGTGCTGGTACTCAGCTCAGTTTTCCCTTGGCTGTAGGAAGGATGTGCTGCAAAGCCAGTGCTGCTTGTGAACCTGGGGGGTGTTTTGTTAGTGCTGTAATGCAAAGAGCAGCAGCATCTGCTCTCCTGTTATCTTTGACCAAGAGATCTCCTGGTCTGCCAGAGCAGTACCCAGATGTGACAGCTCTGCCATGCCCCCTGCAGGAGTCCACCTGCCTCTCTGTCATCCTTTCCTTAACCAGAAGGTTAATTAAAGTAGTTGGTAGTGGAGTACCAGCACTCCTGGCCTCTGCTTTCTGTCTCCAGCCCCCAGAGGGGAGAAGGGTGGATCCTTCCTCCTCCCCCTTCCACAGGAGCAGTTTGTGAGGACTGGTGTTCTGTGGGATCTGGGATCTGCAGGCTCCATGTCAGGCAGCATGTCCTGAGACTGCTTTGGGTATTCCTTCTAAGCTGGTGAACCCTGAGTGCTCACAGGGATCACTTTGGAGAGACTCTGTAAGGTCAGCAGGGAAGCCCCTTTTCTGAGTGCTGAGATGCATGTCTGATCTGCAGACACTGGGGAGGTACATGGGAAGTAACATCATTATTATTATTAATTATTATTTGCTCATTAGTAGCAGGTGTCTGCAGATGGGTATCTTGGGCAGCCCTTCACATCACAGATTTTGACCAGACTGAGCCATAAGTTCCTTTGTGTGTTTAGGGTGAAAACACAGTCAGTGTCCAAGAAAATAAACAAGTGGCCACTATTTGGCTTCTTGTTTTTTAAGCTTTCTGCATTCATGCTGTACACACAACAGGATAACTTCAGTGCACTGGGTGTTTCTGTTTCCTGCCATCCATTCTCTGTGCCTGTTAACCTGCCTTTAGCCTTTCCTTCTATATCTGAATCTTGACTCAGTATGAAAAGATTCCAAAGATTTTAAGTTAAAATGCTCAGTGTAATTCTACTGTGTGCAGCTTCTTTTTGCTCTTGCATTACATGGCAGCAGTCCTGCCATCTTTAGAGACTGTCCTAGTTAGAATAAGCTCTCATTTCATTGTATTCTTTATCAAATCGTGTGTTCTTTAATTTGGCTGTGTTAATCAACATGAATGGCCTTTTTTGGGAATTTGTTAAGACCAGGCACTCTACAGACCTTCTGCTGATGCTTTTCAGCATGTTTACCTTCAATATCACAGCTGTTCCACTCTTGGCTCAGTTTTTGGAGACCATGCCAAGTGTGGAGTGCTTTGGCAACGTCTTCTGATAGATTGTCATTATTTAGTGACTGTCCCAGTCCCACTGCCTGTCATTTGCAGGGGTCCCAGGGTAGGAAACAGTCACCTCGGCCACAAATAAATGTTTTCAATATGTTGGAGTTCTCCTCGGGCACCATTCTGGTGGCAGCAGAACTGTAGGGTTCTTTCTTACCTAGAGGAGATGGGGCTGCCATGGAAGGGCTGTACTCATCAGGTTAATGTCAGTGTGTTACTCTAGCTAGGAGCTCTGCTGAGCTCTGGGTGTGACCTTTCAGGACCCTGCAGTGTGAGGGAAGATCCCACGTCAGATGGATTTCAGTGGTGAAGGCCTCAGCTTGCAGTGCTGAACAGGGGTGGGGCAAGCCTGGGAGCTGCTGCTGGTGCCTTGAGGGTGTCAGCATCACCTCTGACAATAATAGATGCCATCAGATTTCCTTTCTTCCTCTCTCTTTTCTTTTCCTGTACATTGTGTTGCACATGGGTGAGAGTATTTTGCCTAAAACTCACGTGTTTCTGGGGGGAGGGTTTAGGACAAGGTGTCCCCTGAACACTCAAAGTTTACCTGTACTGTGGGGTGATATTCTTTAGTTTAGTTGGATTTTTTAAAAAAAATTGGATAGTACTTCATACATTCTCCCACTGTCTCAGCACATCAAATGACTGATCAATGAGACATCTTATTCAGAGATGTGTTCCTCCTGTTGTCTGCTTTCCCATTGCCTTTTTCCAGAGTCATTTCCCTTCCAACAGTTTGTGCCATTACACAACCTCCTGTCTCTTAAAATCCCTGGCTGCAGACATCTGACAGGAGGTTTTTTGCTTAATCCAATACATGTTGAGGAGGAATTGGGACGTTTTGCAAATCTCTTCCAAGCAGTCACTCCTCATGCAGTTAAAGAGTACCCGTCCTGAAATCACTGATGGCAAAGGAGCTGAGCAACTGCCAGCAGAGCTGGAACTTTGCTGGAATGTTACTGGTGGCAGGACAGGAGGAGCATAGTGGGGGTTGTGTCTGCAGCCTGTTCTTAACACCACTTCCCCCCTCACACCCCCCAGTCTACCCAGCCCTGGTACAGTGTCCTCCCCCTGATTTGGGACTCTAACCAAATGGGCCATTCCTACCCACAGCTACCTTCTATCCCTGCAATGGATCATCTGCAATCTCCAGGACACTTCACTGGAAGCAGTGTCTGGTTGCTGGGTTAACAAACAATGGCTGTTTTCACTTTGAGGGTGGGCAATGAGCAGAGTGTCAGGATGAGGCTGCAGTTCTCTCAACGTGCAAGTATTGTGAACAGAAATCCCAGTTTGGCACTTCTGATTTGTGTTTTCAGTACAGTGAGCTGCCTTTTGCCTTCTCCATTGGACCCATCTCCAACATGCTTGTCAAAAAAAAAAAGAAGTTTTGGCTGGCCTCCTTTTGCCTGGAATCTAGCTTGAGCTACACAGTGCTGTTGCAGCAACTTCTCCAGTTTCAGCTTTATTTCAGTGTTTTATTCTGTGTGAATTTGAGGTGTAGGACAGTTTAGAAGACCCTTCCACTGGAAATTATACAGTGTTCTATTAAAGGACTTAATCATTTGTGTGATATCCAGGTTTGCAGAGGAGTTTTCTGTGTCAAGGATTTGGCTGGCTCTTGCACTGGGCATGGTGTCTGAAGCAGAATAACCACGATTCAGTGCAGATGTCTCAGGAGGCCCCTGTGAGGATAGATGGCTCTGCCAGCAGCACAGTGTGGTTCCTGTTCATACTGATCTCTTAACTAGGAGCTGCTTGGCTGTCTCCGAATATTTCTAAATTTGAGATGGGGTCACTTTTGTACCCAGTTGCTGCTGTGGTTGCTTTAAAAAACAGAATATTGAAATACTTGAACTGAAATAATGTGCTTGTTTCTGGCTTACTGGAAAACTCAAGGATGTTCTCCTGGTTTTAATTTTGTAGGCAGAAAGACTTGAAGCTAAAAAACGACAAGAAGAAATGCAAAGAAGAGAGATGTTCCTGGAAGATCACCATTAGTAAGTAAAATCTGAAACTTATCAGCTAAATTTCCTCATCTGCTTGTCCTTCTGTTTTGGGGTTTGATATTCTTAAATTTTCTGCTTTTGTCTGGTTTGGGGCTCAGGAAGGGTTTGGTTTCTGTTGCTGGTTTTTTCACTTTTTGGCTTCATACTTTTAACTTCAGGGCAAGAGGCAATGGGCACAAACTGAAAGACAGGAGGTTCCTCCTGAACACCAGCAAACACTTTTTTACTGTGACTGACTATGGGCAGAAGTTGCCCAGAGAGGTTGTACAGTCTCCATCCTTGGAGATATTCAAAAGTTCTGGGCAGCTGGCTTTAGGTGGCCCTGCTTGAGCAGTGGGTTGGACAAGATGACCTCCAGAGGTCCCTTCCAAGCTCAACCAGGATGTGATTCTGTGAAGTATTCCAAGCCCCCTCCACACCTTATGCTGTGAGAGAATTGGTTCAGTAGATCTCTCTTAGCTTCCCCAAACATGCATTTTGAAATAAAAACTGTGAGTTTTAGAATGACTTTTTCCTTTCTTTCTCTAACTGAATCAATATGTGGTGATTCAATCCAAGACTAATTATTGAAACAGGATGTAAATTACATCTCCACCCATTAATCTTAGTGACTAGTAAAGAAGTCTAACCCACATGGAAGAAAGGAGGGCTTCCTATATTTGGCTTAGTCCTACAGCTCAAAGGTAGAGATCTGCTGTGAAGAGCTGTTTCCCAAGAATACCTCGTTAATGTCAGGTTTAGATATGGCTTAACTCCTGACATAATTAATTCCACTGGCAGTGAAGTTCCTGCCTTGCCAGTTGACTCTACCCTATTTATTTATTTTTAACTGATCCAACCCAGTTCTATCACATAATTAACACACAATGCTGTTTAGTCACCTTTACCTTTTTTATCTCTGGCTCTTGGAATCACTCACCCGTGTTCTTAGCATGATTGATTGCTCCTTCCTCCTCTGTGACCTTCAGAGGAGTCACTTTTATCTCCTGCTACTGGCTCCATTTGTCCAGTCTGTTCTCTGGTGTACAGACATTCTAGTGCTTTCTGACTGACCTCAGCCTGTCTTGTCTTTTTCCTTTGATTTCTTCTCATTTGGCTTTAGGTGCAGCTCTTCCCTGAACTGCACTGCCAGTGTTTGTCTCTAGATAATGCTGTTTTGCCTGCTCTTTGTCCTCTGTTTGTCCCAGTGTGGATTTCCTGCACACACCTCGATGCCTCAGGATTTCTGAAGATTCTGCACAGCTTTAGGTCTCTGCCTGTTTCTGACAGTCCAGACACCTCCATGCTCATTGAGCCTACCTCAACAACCTCATCAGATCTTGTCAGTGCAAGGTCCTCAGTGATGGGAATTGCTCTGTTCTGAGGGGTTTGTCAGGGTTCTTGTGTTCCTGTTTAATCTGACTTTCTTCAGGCTTGCTCAGGTGTGAACAGAGACATGTCTCTTCCTTTCCCTCACCTTCACTGTCTGTGCCTTTTTTTCCTTGGGGTGAAATGAATTCTGCTGATCAGCACTTTTCCCATTCAGCGTGAGCTGGGTTCTATCCAAAGCTGGCCAGACCCCTCTGAAACAGCTTCATGTGGGCAGTTGTTTGGTCCCCAGGTGGTGCAGGAGCTCAGGCTGCCTGGTCACCAGGAAGGAAAGTGCCTGGCAGCTCTTCTACCCCCTGATCTAGGAAAGCCTTGTGAGCCTTCAGCTGGTGTCATCTTATGAAGCCAAACTGCAGGGTGCAGCTGTGGGTAACTGTTCAGCTCCATGGCTCAGGGTTGTGTTCAGCTACCAGAGGATTATTTGTATGTCCTGTGTACTGGATACACACCAGGAGGGCCCTGTAGATACTGCACCTGGAGGAACTGAGCTGAAAACCTACCTACAGTGAATGCAGCTCTGTTTGAGTGAGAACCTCCCGTGCTGCAGAGGGTGAAGCTAGTGCCTTCCCTGGGCTGAAGGGATCCTCTGCTGGGCAGAGGAGGAGGAGTCTTTGCCACTGGATCTTGTTGAGCTTACATTGCTAAGATACATTGGCATTATGGAGCCCAGCATCCAGGAGTGGTGGGAAGACATGGTTCAGCCTCTCAGATAAAGGAACTTGGAACTCCACTCAAGTCCTGCTGGTGACTGGAGGCATATTGGCACAAAGGGCCTGCTGGGTTTGTCTGGATGCAAAACCGAGCGACTCGTTCCTTCCATCAGCTAAGACCTTGTGCCTGAAGATGAAGGGAACAGACACAAGGCTGTGCCCCTTTCCTGGCTGGTGTATTTTTTCTTCCCCACGTGCTGGGGGAAGGGAAGGCCATGCACTGCATGGGAAGCAATGATGTCTGCAGTGCCATGGCCTGTGGAGCCATTTCAGAAGAGGAGCTGCCTCGTTAGTCTGTCCTCTGTAAGAACCTGTAGCTACAACAGCCCAACTTTCCCGAGGAGATCAATGCCTGCCAGAAGTCTCATTAGCTGGGAAACCTTTTAAAGCTGATCACCACCACTAGCTGTCTCAGCCTCCATGGGGCACAGCCCAATCTGTACCTCTCCTCTGTGAACTCCTCCCTTTATTCGATAAGGAAAGGCAGTTATGACTCACATCTTATTAACATACTCTGATAACTAAGTATGATGCTTCCTAGCAGTTTGGTTTTTTGATTAAATTCCTGTCACTGTTAAAACCAAGAACTTCTCAATGAAATCCCCTTTCAAATGGTGTTACATGAACTGAATGCCAAAAGGAAAAATTGTCTGCAACCCTGCAGAACACAGTTAATTGTATCTATCTCTTGGAAGCCTTTTTAGCTTCTTTGTGTACAACTGGCCCTGGAAAAGTCAGCTATACCTGTTCTCACCATTGCTTCAGTATGTGTTTGAGTCTTTTGGGAATGCTATCTAGACACACATGCAGGGTGCTGTGGAAAGGTCTGTAAGGTTCTCTTCTTTTGGGATCAGAAACTCTTCTGACCCAGGTAGACTCAAGCTCCATTAGGTGACTAAAATGGACAAAACTCACAAGGTATCTCCTAAGGCAGCTGAAGTTTGAAGAGCACACAGAATCAGACTCTGAACTGGGGGAACTGCTGCATGACCAGATTGTGTTAACAGAGGAGAAGCACTTGAGAGGTTTGTCTGGGATAGCATCACCATGGTTCTGCCTCTGCAGATGCCAGAGCTGCAGAATGAGGGGGGGGTGTGCACTTCTCTGTCAGAAGGTGCTTACATGTGACATGGGGTCCTTCCTTCTGAGCAGGGGTGTCTTGGGTGCATTCTACATCTGTGGCCTGTGGTAGAGACCGTGTTCCTGTCAGTGCACATGAGAAGGTGACAAATGCTCGTGTAGCCCGTGCTAGTGCTGGTGTAGTGCATGGCTGGTCCCTGTGAGGAGAGGTCTGAATGTCCATCTTGCCCAGCAGCAATGAAGAAGAGATCAGGGGGCTGGCTCAGGACTTTTCAGAGTATCTTTAGTTAGGACACAAACGATGTCATTTAACCAGTAATGTGGGATGGCCACCACATGGCTTGCTCTTCTCTGGCTTGCTGTGCAGCCCGTGTGAGTCTCTGCCTGCACTGTAGCATGGCTCACTGTAAGCTCTTAGCCCAGCTGTCTAGTAAGGTGCTTTTATTTAATTTGGATTCAGCTTCCCAGAAACTGCAGCGTTGGATGTGGTCCACTGCATTTCTAATAGCTCTCTGGCCATTTATGTGATGGGAAAAGCAGTCTAGCACATAGAGTTTCTTTTTAATAGCACATGATGGCTGTTGTATCACTTCATCTTTCCCTTTGTTACATATTCATGCCTGTGTTTTTGTGAAGGTTGTACTCCTGTGAAAATTCCTGGCAGTGCTGTGCTCAGCTACATGTGTGCACTCCATATATTCTGCTCAGAATTTGGAGCTGGGAATAGGGTTTGCCAGAGTGCCTCTGAGTGCACATTGCAGGCACGAAGCAGGAGGTTCACCCAACCCACTGATGCACCCTCGCTTGCCAGAGCAGCTTTCTCCAAAGTCATAAAATGCAAGGAAATAAAACCTGAACCAAACCAGAATTTTTATTTATTTATCTCTTTTTACAGGATAAATACTAATGTCCTTGCCAGTTTTCAGTCCCTTATGATGTGTGGTTCAAACAGCAGGCTGGTAACAAATTCTCCCCACAGAAGTGCAAATGTGAACCTGACCGGGGTTTTAATATAGGCTGCTAGGGAGAATGAAAGGGCTCACACAAAAAGGGTTTGCAGCCTTGAGGATCTTTTGTTTGCTTCTTTTCACCACAATGGTCTTCGTTTTGTTCATTTGCTCCTGATTATTTTAAGCATTGTCAATTATTTAGCTAACAGGCAGAAAACTAGGCTTTTATAGACATCCAAAGGGACTCTCTTGAGTGTAATAATGAAGGCAGTTTATTGAACGCCTGTGAGGTTGCTTTCTAATTGTACACATTAATCTGCCCATGCAAGCTGGCTGAAAATACAGAAGCAGATTGCACATGCAGATGGAGCACACAGAATGGAAGATCTATGCAATAGTCTTATACAAAACTGCATTTTCCTTAAAACTGGATTTATGCTTATTACTTCAGACAATAAATGAAACTTGATGTCTGAAATAACTTCCCAGAATACTGGATGAGTTGGTGGGAGGAAAGAATAGCCTAGCTTTATTATTTCATCCAGTCAGGAAAACAAAAAAAGCTAGTGGGTTGACAGGAAAAATTAGTTTTGGGTGTGGGTGGGAAGTGATGAAAATTATTCTGCTGAGAAAGTTACCTTTTTTTTTTTTTTAGCCTATTTTTGTGGTTTCTTGAAGCCTTGTACCTAAAATGAACTAGTGCCACGTTTTTTGTTCTTATCCTGAAGAAAAGAAACACATGCTCAAGACCTTGCAGACAAAAGAGCCTGGCAGCCAGAGACAGCACAGTTCTGATCCCTAGGGTTAGGTCTGGCCAAGGCTGCCTCAGTGTGCTCAGGCATTACCCCCAGAGAGGCCTGTGGGTGCTGCATTGGGCTGCCTG